ATAGATCAAAACGCTTAATGGTACTTTCAAATGAGCACATACCTTGACATGATCTTGAAGGTGTTCAAGATGGATCAGTCAAAGAAGGAGTTCTTGCCTGAGTTGTAAGGTATGAAGTTAAGACTTAAAGCTCGACCACGGAAGAATAGAGAGAAAGGACGAAGGTCGTCCCCTATGCTTAAGACGTAGGCTCTACAGTATGCTATGCTGTGTACCGCACCTGAAGTGTGCCTTGCCATGAGTCAGTCAAGGGGTACAAGAGTGATCCAAGAATGGATCACAGGACAGCGGTCAAATTTATCCTTGGTAACTAGTGGACTAAGGAATTCTCTCGATTATGGAGGTGGTAAAAGAGTTCGTCGTAAAGGGTAACGTCGATGCAAGCTTAACAATTTAGAATAGCTCCAAGTAGAACAGTTATTTGGAATAGCTCCAAATAGAACGTGGTAGCTGCATCTAGGAGATGACATAGAGATTTGTAAAGCACACACGGATCTGAAAGGTTCAGACCCGTTGACTAAAACCTCTCTCACAAGCAACATGATCAAACCCAGAACTCATTGAGTGCTAATCACATAGTGATGTGAACTAGATTATTGACTCTAGTAAACTCTTTGGATGTTGGTCACATGGCGATGTGACCTGTGAGTGTTAATCACATGGCGATGTGAACTAGATTATTGACTCTAGTGCAAGTGGGAGACTGTTGGAAATATGCCCTAGAGGCAATAATAAATAAGTTATTATTATATTTCCTTGTTCATGATAATCGTTTATTATCCATGCTGGAATTGTATTGATAGGAAACTCAGATACATGTGTGGATACATAGACAACACCATGTCCCTAGTAAGCCTCTAGTTGACTAGCTCGTTGATCAATAGATGGTTACGGTTTCCTGACCATGGACATCGGATATCGTTGATAACGGGATCACATCATTAGGAGAATGATGTGATGGACAAGACCCAATCCTAAGCATAGCACTAGATCGTGTAGTTCGTATGCTAAAGCTTTTCTAATGTCAAGTATCATTTCCTTAGACCATGAGATTGTGCAACTCCCGGATACCGTAGGAGTGCTTTGGGTGTGCCAAACGTCACAACGTAACTAGGTGGCTATAAAGGTACACTACGGGTATCTCCGAAAGTGTCTGTTGGATTGGCACGAATCAAGACTGGGATTTGTCACTCCGTGTGACGGAGAGGTGTCTCTGGGCCCACTCGGTAGGACATCATCATAATGTGCACAATGTGATCAAGGAGTTGATCACAGGATGATGTGTTATGGAACGAGTAAAGAGACTTGCCGGTAACGAGATTGAACATGGTATCGGGATACCGACGATCGAATCTCGGGCAAGTGTCGTACCGATAGACAAAGGGAATTGTATACGGGATTGATTAAGTCCTTGACATCGTGGTTCATCCGATGAGATCATCGTGGAACATGTGGGAGCCAACATGGGTATCCAGATCCCGTTGTTGGTTATTGACCGGAGAGTCATCTCGGTCATGTCTGCATGTCTCCCGAACCCGTAGGGTCTACACACTTAAGGTTTGATGACGCTAGGGTTATAAAGGAAGTTTGTCTGTGGTTACCGAATGTTGTTCGGAGTCCCGGATGAGATCCCGGACGTCACGAGGAGTTCCGGAATGGTCCGGAGGTAAAGATTTATATATGGGAAGTCCTGTTTTGGTCACCGGAAAGGTTTCGGGGTTTATCGGTAATGTACCGGGACCACCGGAGGGGTCCAGGGGTCCACCGGGGGGGGCCATGGGCCCCAGAGGCATACATGGGCCAAATGTGAGAAGGCACCAGCCCCTAGGTGGGCTAGGGCGCTTCCCACTAAGGTCCATGCGCCTAGAAGGGGAGAAGGGGGCAAACCCTAAGGGCAGATGGGCCCTAAGGCCCATACTCCCTGCGCCTCCCTCTCCTCCCCCCTTGTGGCCGCCACCCATAGATGGGTTTGGGGCTGCCGCCCCTCTAGGGGTGGGAACCCTAGAGGGGGCGCACCCTCCTCCCCTTCCCCTATATATATGAGGCCTAGGGGCTGCCCAATACACGCGATCTGATCTCTGCCTGTTGGTGCAGCCCTCCCTCTCTTTCTCCTCATAACTCGCGGTGCTTGGCGAAGCCCTGCAGGATTGCCACGCTCCTCCATCACCACCACGCCGTTGTGCTGCTGCTGGATGGAGTCTTCCTCAACCTCTCCCTCTCTCCTTGCTGGATCAAGGCATGGGAGACGTCACCGGGCTGTACGTGTGTTGACCGCGGAGGTGCCGTCCGTTCGGCACTAGGATCTCCGGTGATTTGAATCACGATGAGTACGACTCCATCAACCACGTTCTCTTGAACGCTTCCGCATAGCGATCTATAAGGGTATGTAGATGCACTCTCCTTCCGCTTGTTGCTAGATTACTCCATAGATTGATCTTGGTGATGCGTAGAAAATTTTGAATTTCTGCTACGTTCCCCAAAAAGATCCGGCTCGTTAACAGTCTGCCATGTTTTTGGCCAAATGACGGCCCATATCAGATCCGGCCTGTTAACTGCCTGACATATTTTGGGCCAAATTACGGCCCATATTTAATCTGGTCTGTTAACAGGCACGGTGATTTCGGCCCCATTGGGGGCCATTTTCACTATAACCTCTTAAAGGCCCATGTAATAGTTCAGCCTGATATTACTTTCGGCCTATTAAAGGCTCGTAGTCCTCGTGGATACATTCTGCACCGGAGGGGGCTGAGACAGGGCGACCCGTCACCGCTCCTCTTCATCATTGCGATCAACCCCATCCACCGTCTGCTAAAAGCTGCGGAAGAGGCTCTAGATATCACCCCGGTGCCTGGCAGAGAGATCAAGCTTAGGGTTAGCCTGTATGTGCACAACGCCATCATTTTTGCGAATCCAGACAAGGAAGAGATCGACCACTTGATGTGCATTCTAGAAAAATTCGGCGATGCTACTAGCATGAGGATAAACAACTTCAAGTCCATGGCGACACCGATTTGTTGTGACGACATCAACCTAAATGTTGTGTTACAGTCCTTTGCGGGACTGATCGTGTTGTTCCTGATCAGATACTTGGGACTCCCTCTGACCGTTGCCGGCTTCGCCTAGTCCACCTCCAGTTCATCCTTGATCGCATTTGGGCTAGGCTAGCTAGTTGGAAGGGAAGAATGCTATCCATTGCCAGACGGCAGGTCCTCGTCCGATGTGTGCTCACTGCCCTGCCCACGTTTGCTCTCACCGCGCTCCCTGTCCCCAAGAAGCTGCTTAAGGAGATCGACAAGAGTAGACGCCATTTCCTTTGGGGAAGAGATCTGGAGCTCTCCGGGGCAGTTGGAATATCAGCTGGGGCCGGGTCTGTTCCCTGATCGAGCACAGCGGGATCGACATTCAGGACCTGGCTAAGTTCAGCCGCACCCTCCGGCTGCGGTGGCTGTGGCACGCTTGGAAGACCTGTCCGTGCGTGGGGACGGAACCGCCTTGCAATGCTTCTGATCGCGCCCTATTCAGTCAGTGTGGTCACGAAGGTGATCATCGGCAATGGGCACACGGAAAGTTTTTGGCATTGTTAATGGCTGGGATCGACACCGCTGAAGGTCTACTTCCCCAACCTGTTCAAACACTCACGCAGAAAGAACAAAAAAGTGGCCCAAGCTCTTGCAGATGATCGTTGGATTTCAGACCTAGCGCATTGAGACACCAGCTCTCTGATCCGAGATGTGCTTAGCCTGCATAGACTGATTCAGCAACTGACCCTCCAAGAATCCACTCAAGATCAGATCCTTTGGAAGTTTGAAGCCTTCGGACAGTACAACTCTCGCTCGGCATACTGCATGCATTTCCTGGGATCAACGACCGCACACTTTTGCAATGTGGTCTGGGACACATGGGCTTCGGCAAAGCTGAAGATTTTCGCATGGCTTCTCCACCAGGATCGTCGTTGGTGCAATGATCGCCTGCAGCGCAGAGGATGGCCCAACAATTACTTCTGTCAACTATGCCCGCGGAACCTTGAGAGCTCCGAGCACCTGTTCTGGCAATGCAACTTCACGAGGACCGTCTGGGCCGAACTGTCGACCTGGCAACATTGCCATGTTTTCGAGCAGACAACTTGGATCCACAGCACCAGCTCGCTGGAGAAGATGGCGTCAATGATCACGGCTGCGCGGCCGGGTACCAGGAAAGGAATTAAATCCCTGACGATGCTGGCCCTATGGGAAATATGGCAAGAACGCAATCACTGCATTTTCAGGGCAAAGGAGGCAAGTGTGATGGACGTGCTGCTCACAATCCGGCACAATCTCAGTCTATGGCAGCAGTGTGGCGTCAAGTTTCTTCAGAACCCCTTCGGGGACCCGCCATGAGGATAGGCTAACGGCATGTGCCTTTGGCACTCCGTTTTTCTTCATTCATCTTCAATTTATCCTTGATCTTTGGATCCTCGCCCTTGTCATTTTTCCACTGCTCTCTGCTTAATTCAATGAAATATCAGCCTTGGCTGGTTCTTCAAAAAAAAAAAAGATCGTGGAGATATGTTGTTGTCGTTTTAGATAATGGTGTAGCTTGTATTCAACTTTACTTTAAAAAGCTTTGGTGCTAGTCGTGGTGGTCTGTGATAAGGTTTATATTTTGCTCGGTAGACGTCTCTTGTTGTTAGAGGGTGCTCGTAAACTTATCATGTCACACTAAGACTGATGCCTTAATAGGAACTTGATGCATGGTTGTGTTATCAATTTTCAAAAATCAAAATTACGGGGTGATCCCTTATTTCAAAAATAGTAATACTCGTGTATATCGACAAACCGCTTACAGCCGGCCTATGAACTAATTACATTTTGTAAAAATGCCCTTTGTCAATGCGAATTTGACAAGATTTGTGCACTTCTTTTTTTTGCGGACTTTACATACACTGCACAACACTGCAACGCTACAGTACTCATAAGCAACAATCTTCTACTAAGAAAATAATTGTGCTGATCTCTCCGGCCTCACATTGCTCCATTTGCTTCGGAACCCTGGTCGGCGATGTGCACCGACGGCTGGGTGCTCCTGAACCTAAGCCCGTTCACCATGGGCTTCACCTTCTCGGTAAGCTTCATGATGGCCAAGAAGAGCACCCTGTACAATATGACCATCCCGAACAGGACCGCGAGGTCGACCCACTTGTTGTACCCCATCTCCACCTGCCAGTACTCCCTGAGGATCTCGTCGCCAGTGATGGTGGCAGCGCCGCCAACCTGGTTGTTTGGGAAGGTGAGGCCGAGGAACTCGTTCTTGTAGAACCCCTGGTTGGCATACTTGTGGAAGGCGACGTAGTACATGGGGTACCTCCACACCGGCTTGGGAAGGTCGTGGGGCAGGCGGAAGAAGCCGCCGTTGAGCATCATGACGCCCTGGATGCCAGCGCCGGTGATGATGCCCATGAGGAAGTCAGGCACGGCGCTGGCCACAATCATCATCAGGCCCTCCACGAGCATCATTGTCATGAAGAGCACCAGCGCGAAGTAGGCGAAGTGGTCGAAACTCCTCTGCAGGCCGACCAGGTAGTAGGCCATCGCACCCGGCACCAGGGAAATCAGGAGTAGATACGGCGTCGCCGAGACTGTGTTGGCGATCACGAACGACGAGACGCCGTAGTGCCCGTTCAGCCTCTCCCTTCCAAATATCTGCGTTGTGCATACATAAAGCACATCAGATCAACGTATCGTGAGTATCGTTTTTCAATTTCATTTTAGAAAAATTTCAGCACCAACCGAAAATCAGTGAATTTCAGTGAATTATGTTTTCATTTCGGTGAAAGGGCCGAAATCTCCACTTGATTTCAATTAAGATTTTGAATTTTTTGAAAAATATTTGAATTTCTGTTTACTACTGAAATTGCCTAAATATTTTGGCGAAACGTAAATATTTCAGTGTCTGCTAAAGTTAATGAAATTCAGCGGATTTCATCGAAATCTCACTGAAAGTGAAAACCATGATCGTGAGACGTGAGATGAGATGGAACTCGATCAGAAACTTCACCTTCATGTCCTCGACGAAAGACGGGAAGCCTCCGATGGCCATGAAGGTGAGGAAGGCGCCTACGAACATGAGCATGGAGCCACGAGCCTGCATGCAAAGTTTTCAATCACACGAGTTAACACAACAGTGATCAGTGGCGTGGCAACTACAACGAGAGGCTTCTTGCTACGCACCTGTATGGATCCATAGCTATGGCCGATGTCATAGAAGATGGTGCCGCAGCAGAGGCAGAGGGCGATGTAGATAGCGAAGCGGAGCCAGTAGTAGCCGAGGTCCCTGTACATGTTGATGAAGGACCTCTTGGTTAGCACCAAGGACTGCATCAGGAAGCTCGGCTGCTGCCCTTCCATCTTCACCACCTCCCCTACCTGAAACCACACGACAAACCACATACACGCTTATAATTAGCAAAATTCAGCACTCCAACTGAAAGTTTCAAAATGTACGTGGAGTCCGGCCGGGCTACTCACAGTGCCGCGTATGTCAGCGATCTGCCGAGTCACCTTGTCCATGTACACGGAGGATTTGTAGGAGACCACCAGCGCGTCGATGTTCTCGGCGGTGGTCGTCTTCTTCCCGCCGAGGCCTTCCTCGATGTCCTGAGGAATCAATTGATGAAGCGCATGGTTAGGAATACTATTCACCAAGAAGATTTCAGATATAGAGTAGATAATTAAGGTCCTTGTTGATTGAACGGTGGCGATGTGCTCACATTGTCGAAGTCCTTGTTGATGGTCCTCAGGAAGTGGTCGGAAGGGTTCATCAGTGACGGGCAAGGAAACCCGCTCAAAGCGAAGAACTGAAACAAACAAACAAACAAACAAATTATTAGGTAACAAAAAACTCAGTGGCTTCAAGAGTTTCTTGTGCACTTTGACTATAGTAATCCAGGTCCAGCAAGTGAGGAAGATAGGAACACATGGCATGTTTTGTCAAAGGATTAGCAGTATCATTTTCTTCAGTTATCCATCTACCGTACCTACGGACCGACCGACCGAGGCACATTTTTCTCCTCCGTGACCGGCACACCGTCAGCTAGGAAAACACGCGTGTTTGTCAAACCGTGTGGTCAATTTAATCACCCCATGAAATTACTATCACCTAATACTTCCTAAAAAATACACCGATTAATTTGTTGTATCAGGAGACTTGCTTGGCACAGTGGATTACCTATAATACGAGTACTAGACGATCTCTCCACAGTCGTCTACAGCTAAACCGAGCTTTCAGCCTCAGCTGTCACCACTCAAAAAACAGTCCTGAATGCAAGCACATCTTCGCCACTGTGCTATGAACGCGATGCCGCAGTTGAGTTAGGCGGCACTGATCGATCAATGCATGTGGCCAGCCAAACGTGTGTGATTTTTTATTCTTTTTGGGAGTAAGCTTCCCTGCCAAAACGAATGTTCCCAGTGCGTGGCGCAGTCCATATATATGTTCCCCGGCGGTTTGGATCGATCGTGTGCAGTGCTCCTAGTCCCTACCAGTGACTCGAGCACAGTTCCAACTGTGCATATATACAGTGATTAATATCGTGATCTATCTTTCCACAGTACGTACGTGATGTTGCTTCTGCAAGTTAAAACTGTTCCTCTTGTTCTCCGGGCGAACTCTAGTCATTTTCTAATACTCCCTCCGTTATTAAAAAAATCTAATGATAAGTGCCACACGTCAGGTTCGTGACACTCTTGTCCTAACGTTTTTCGATGACAATTTCAGTCACGCAAGGATGGAAAATTCCAGTGACACACGGCAAGTTTTTGTATAAAAAAAAACTAAACCACCAAAGTTGTCATGCTTGCTAACTGAAGTGATGTTATAATCTTTTTTCTTTAAATTAGATGTATACATACATTTTTCATTATATTTGTTTACTCATTTCATTTCATATATAGTTTATATTAAAATATTCAAATTGAACTTTGTTATCTTTCTGTTGAGTAATTAATGGAAAGGGATTCCCGGTTGAAAAAAAATTGAAATATTTAAAATATCTTATTTTTGTTACTGAAGGGAGCGCATAATTACTGCCGTGGTACGGTACTTCTTTGGCAATTGTGATCTCTTTGAAAGTTAATAATGTATTTTTCTGAAATATTTTAGTGCAATTCTGTTGTGGGTGGATAACTAAGTTAAATAAGCTATGAATGGTGTACCCAATTACCCAACCAAAGGTGATATTACTTACAGAAGATTTTTTATTTATTTCTCTAGATTTAGATCAAAATTTTGGCTGAAATATTTTGGACTTGCAGATATACACCCATAGGTATGTGCTAAAAAATCAGTATATGTTTTATAGATTGATCATATGATCTCACCAACAGATCCAAGCCTAAAGATCAAATAATTTGTATTACCACCGTCCAGTGTGAAACTGTGAATACGCCTACTAGGGTCGCGATCATGTCCAAAGTCCAAACACGTACATACGATAGCAACAGCAACATGCAACAATCAACAGCACTGTGCACGTATTCATACGTACATACGTACGCACGCATACAACAGTATGTACAGACGTACCTGGTTGGTCTCGGCGGCGGGACCGAAGAAGACGGTCTTGCCGTAGGCGAGGAGGCAGAGCCCGTGGAAGAGGCCGTAGACCTCAGTGCTGGGCTGGTGCACGGCGGCGACGACGGTCATGCCCTCCCGGCGGGCGAGCCTGGCGATCCGGCTGACGACGTGGAAGGAGGCGGCGCTGTCGAGGCCGCTGGTGGGCTCGTCCAGGAACAGCAGCGCCGGCCGGGTGAGGATCTCCATGCAGATGCTGACCCGGCGCCGCTGGCCGCCGCTGATCCCCTTGTGCATCCACCCGCCGATGCGCGTGTCCGCCGCGCCCTCCAGCCCCATCTCCCGCAGCGTCTCTTCCGCCCGGTCCCGCTTCGCCGCCGCCGACATGCCGCTCGGCAGCTGCAGCGACGCCGAGTAGCGCACGGCCTCCCGCACCGTCAACGTCGTCATCAGCACGTCGTCCTGCGTCACGTACGCCTGCAACACGCAAAGGATGCGTTGATTAACTAAAATAATTGATAGAGTGCGTTCGTTCACGATCAACCCGAATGAAAATGAGATTCTCCGAATTGAAATAGCTCATCCGTGCATGCACTAGGCTTACCGATGTTCCGTAGGATAGCTTCTGCCTCCGGCCATTGATCAAGATGTCTCCCTTCTGGCTGACACCAGAGCCTAGCCTTCCTGTAATTTTGTACCACGGAAGCTCGTCGTAATTAATTCTTTAATCTTCTCACCGCAAAAATTATAATATCTAGATACTAATTGTACGAGTCGCTACGACGCTAGCTGGCGAACAAAATCTTTCGAGTAGTTTATCAGGAAGGCTGGCTGTCTGACTAGCGAAGGCCAGCCCGCATACGATATTGTATAGGAGTAGTATTATTCACGAGCATGTATACGGCTGTACCAACCTGCTAGAGCGTCCAGAAGGGTGGATTTGCCGCAGCCGGAGGGGCCCATGATGGCGAGGACCTCGCCGGGGCGCGCATAGCCGTTGAGGCCGCGCAGGATGGGGACGCGGCCGGCCTTGCCGCCGGCCGCCGACACCCACAAGTCCTCCCAGGAAAGCACGACGCCCTGATCAACTCGGCGCAACGACGTCTCGCGAAGCACGGCGGGCACGGCGCCGGCGCCGTTCTCCACGCTGATCTCGAGCGACGAGGAGGTCCGCGACCGCGGCAGGGTCACCGGCATCGGAGCGAACGGCGGCGGCGGGAACGAGCTCCCGCTGCCGAAAGGGAAGCCGTCGGTGCTGCGCAGGGAGCCGCCGAGGACGTCAGAGGCCGTGTCGGACGGGCCCTCGTCGTCTGCGGCGTGGCCGGGACGGCTCTGCTCCCGCGGCGGGCTCGGCCTCCACCTCGGCACGGCGGGCAGAAGCTGCTCGGACGCCATATAGGGAGGCTTAGCCGGCTCGATCGTCGGAGACGTGCGTGGAAGCTAGCAATCAGCTGGCCGGGTGGTGGTATGGGTTTCTTCTTTTGCTCGTGATGACTCTGCGGAATGGTGGTATGGGCTGAGAGCCCGAGACTGCTTAAATAGAGGGAAGATATGAGGTGGTTGAGTGCAGGATTTATACTTAATCCTAATTCAAATCACAACTTGGTTTAGATTTTGAACAAAGGAGCGGGTCAAGAGGGGAACGGGGTGCTTAGTTCCTTCTGCCTGTGTATACTATACGTAGAGTACGTGCGTGTGGCATTCAACTTCGTTTTTCTATGACAAGGTGTCCAATGTTTTGCAGACAAATACTAATATTGTCGTGACAAGTACGAGGCTGACACCATTAGGCAATTTTACGGCCGAAGCAGTGGTTCTGCTGTACTAAAATGATTACGTTTGTGTGCTTTCATTGCTTGGTACGAGGTTCTCCAGAGCAAATTATTACTCTGCTTCCTTAGGGTTACGGTGCACTGGAAATGCCCATTTAAAGAAATTTCGTACCAACAGCAAATTCCATCATAGTTGCTGACGTCCTCACCCTCCTGCCCCATGGTACGATTCGCCGAGGACACCCTAATCCTAGCTGGGGCAACACCACAAACCGTGATAACTCTGAAAACTCTTGATGACTTTGCCAATGCCACTGAACTCCACATTAATTTCAAGAAACTACTATGTATCTCCGCCGACCAAACGTGAATTCCCCTACCCTCTACCTGCCACTCTGCCGGCTGGTGGCACGGAGGGCAACACTGGTACCTCGGCTTTAGCTAGTAGTTTAGGTTAGACTTTTTAGCCTTTGCAGTGGTGGCGCTTCATCTTCTCAGCTTCGATCCTCTTCGAATCTATCCCTCGGGATAGATTTGGCGAAGTTGCATTGTAGATTCTTGTCATCTCCTTTGGACGACGAGGTTAGGATTTCTCGTCATGCATGTGCAGTGGCGAGATCTGGTGTCAACCGCATTTGATCGATTCAAGGGCTCAACAACGACAATTGTGGCTGTAGGGCGCTGGTCTGTAGGGGCACATGAACAGAGACTTCCCGACTCTTATTGAAAAAGTCAGGCCAGCTCTGGCATGGGAGGGATGACATTGGCACGCCGCCAGCTCATTCTGGCATTAGTAGTTGTCATTCGGTTGTCTAGCAACATCGATATAATTTTTTATTATGTTTGGGTTTGCTTTGTGCTTTTTGTGAACTTTTATAATAGTCTCGGGTTTTCACAAAATGATATAATTCAAGAAACTACTTCCTACCGCAACAACGTTTCACAGGAACTAGTATCTTGCTAGCAAATGGCCATGGCATTGTCATTGCCTCTTCCCAAAACATACCTAAGCCTACCCCAATCCCCAACTAATCTATCGTAGCCTTTCAACCACCTGCGAAAATTTCCTCTTCGACTGGTGAGCTCTTCTTCTCAACAAAGGGGGTTGGCTTGTCCTACCCTCCGCGCTTTTGGATAGTCAATACATATTTCCTGGGCTCCTTCCTTGAAAAATATATCATAGGATGACTTGATCAACGTAGGCGGTGTTTAAATTTTAAAGGACTTGTCACAAGAAACTTCTGGTATAGGGGGAGTTGGACCAAAAAATCTTGCTCCAATAGACCCCTTCCTGCCCTCCCCCCACAAAAAAAATCATGATCGCAGAAAAATACCTCAACTCCCCTTTATAGAGGGAGTTGATCTATAATCACATCCACATTGGTGGAAATCAATTGACACGGACTTATGCCTCGGGCTTGGCCTGACATTCGATGCCGCCCTCCACCATCGGCGCCCACTAGGTCGCCGCTGCGGACCCCCTGCTAGACCGCATGCGCCTTCTTGGCTCGACGTTCACCCACTGACGCTCCGGCGTGCCTCCTCACCGTCCAACGCCTCTCGTGCCTCCCCACTGTCCATGCCGCTCGCGGCTCCGATGCTCACCGGGTCGTTGTTGTAGACACACTGCCCGCACGCCGGCGCTTCCCCAACTCCCATTCAGACATGCCAGCAAGCACGGTGCACGATGCCTCCTCTACCCGTGCCTCCCCGGGTCCCTAATCGGGGCCGCTGCCCTATGGTGCCTCCCTGTCTACCCATTGGTTTACGCTACCGTCACTAGCGGGTCGAAGAGTTATGCATGTGGCCACACACCGAAAAGAGAGATAGAGGGGCGGGGTAAAAATAAATAAAAAGTGGCCACTAACTGGTGTAGCCCATTTGTTAGATTTGGGTATCAGGGATGGATTTATTGGCGGTATTCAAAATTAGCACAGATGAAAAAATCAAATAATTTATTGGTCAAACGGAAATTGCTAATGGAGCTCGAGCTCCATGGAGCCCAAAATTTGAAAAATTCAGAAATCAAATTGCTTTCAAAAAATCCTGAAAAAAAATACACACATACATATGGATGTATACTACTTGTATGTAAAGTTTTATGGTGGAATATATTTTTAGGCGAGTTACACAGAAATTACAAATTTGTCTATTTCTAGTACATGTACTATCCATTACAAAAGAAATGTTCTTTTTTTGTATAGCTCACATCAAAACATTGTTGGGGAACGTAGTAATTTCAAAAAAATTCCTACGCACACGCAAGATCATGGTGATGTATAGCAACGAGGGGAGAGTGTGATCTACGTACCCTTGTAGACCGACAGCGGAAGCGTTATGACAAGGCGGTTGATGTAGTCGTACGTCTTCACGATCCGACCGATCCAAGCACCGAAACTACGGCACCTCCGAGTTTCAGCACACGTTCAGCTCGATGACGATCCGTGGACTCCGATCTAGCAAAGTGTCGGGGAAGAGTTCCGTCAGCACGATGGCGTGGTGACGATCTTGATGTTTAACTGTCGCAGGGCTTCGCCTAAGCACTACTACAATATTATCGAGGATTATGGTGGAAGGGGCACCGCACACGGCTAAGAAAACGATCACGTGGATCAACTTGTGTGTCTAGGGGTGCCCCCTGCCCCCGTATATAAAGGAGCAAGGGGAGGAGGTCGGCCGGCCCTATGGCGCGCCAAGGAGGAGTCCTCCTCCTAGTAGGAGTAGGACTCCTACTAGGAGGGGGAAGGAAGTGGGGAAGGAGAAGGAAAGGGGGGCGCCACCCCCCCCCCCTTTCCTAGTCCAATTCGGACCAGGGGGCAGGAGGCGCACGGCCCACCCTGGCTGCCCTTCTCTCTCTCCACTAAGGCCCATATGTCCCATTACTTCTCCCGGGGGGTTCCGGTAACCCTCCGGCACTCCGGTTTTCTCCGAAATCACCCGGAACACTTCCGGTGTCCGAATATAGTCGTCCAATATATCAATCTTTATGTCTCGACCATTTCGAGACTCCTCGTTATGTCCGTGATCACATCCGGGACTCCGAACTAACTTTGGTACATCAAAACTAATAAACTCATAATATAACTGTCATCGAAACCTTAAGCGTGCGGACCCTACGGGTTCGAGAACAATGTAGACATGACCGAGACACGTCTCCGGTCAATAACCAATAGCGGAACCTGGATGCTCATATTGGCTCCCACATATTCTACGAAGATCTTTTATCGGTCAGACCGCATAACAACATACGTTGTTCCCTTTGTCATCGGTATGTTACTTGCCCGAGATTCGATCGTCGGTATCTCAATACCTAGTTCAATCTCGTTACCGGCAAGTCTCTTTACTCGTTTCATAATACATCATCTCGCAACTAACTCATTAGTTGCATTGCTTGCAAGGCTTAGGTGATGTGCATTACCGAGAGGGCCCAGAGATACCTCTCCGACAATCGGAGTGACAAATCCTAATCTCGAAATACGCCAACCCAACATGTACCTTTGGAGACACCTGTAGACCACCTTTATAATCACCCAGTTACGTTGTGACATTTGGTAGCACACAAAGTGTTCCTCCGGCAAACGGGAGTTGCATAATCCCATAGTCATAGGAACATGTATAAGTCATGAAGAAAGCAATAGCAACATACTAAACGATCGGGTGCTAAGCTAATGGAATGGGTCATGTTAATCACATCATTCTTCTAATGATGTGATCTCATTAATCAAATAACAACTCTTTTGTTCATGGTTAGGAAACATAACCATCTTTGATTAATGAGCTAGTCAAGTAGTGGCATACTAGTGACACTCTGTTTGTCTATGTATTCACACATGTATTATGTTTCCGGTTAATACAATTCTAGCATGAATAATAAACATTTATCATGAAATAAGGAAATAAATAATAACTTTATTATTGCCTCTAGGGCATATTTCCTTCAGTCTCCCACTTGCACTAGAGTCAATAATCTAGATTACACAGTAATGATTCTAACACCCATAGAGCTTTGGTGCTGATCATGTTTTGCTCGTGGAAGAGGCTTCGTCAATGGGTCTGCAACATTCAGATCCGTATGTATCTTGCAAATCTCTATGTCTCCCACCTGGACTAGATCCCAGATGGAATTGAAGCGTCTCTTGATGTGCTTGGTTCTCTTGTGAAATCTGGATTCCTTTGCCAAGGCAATTGCATCAGTATTGTCACAAAAAAATTTCATTGGACCCGATGCACTAGGTATGACACCTAGATCGGATATGAACTCCTTCATCCAGACTCCTTCGTTTGTTGCTTCCGAAGTAGCTATGTACTCCGCTTCACATGTAGATCCCGCCACAACGCTTTGTTTAGAACTGCACCAACTGACAGCTCCACCGTTTAATGTAAACACATATCCGGTTTGCGATTTAGAATTGTCCGGATCAGTGTCAAAGCTTGCATCAACGTAACCATTTACGATGAGCTCTTTTTCACCTCCATATATGAGAAACATATCCTTAGTCCTTTTCAGGTATTTCAGGATGTTCTTGACCGCTGTCCAGTGATCCACTCCTGGATTACTTTGGTACCTCCCTGCTAGACTTATAGCAAGACACACATCAGGTCTGGTACACAGCATTGCATGCA